TTAAAATCAATAACCAAAGATTTGCAGAAGGCAACTATTGGCAACATTACCCATGAGTGCCAATCTAAATCCCATTTTAACGGCAGATTCGGTTATATGATCCGAAACCATTCTGTCTCTTTTTTACTAGGGTTAAAAAAGAAGAGAAAATGCGCTCTGAGCTTAAAACGAATTTTAATTTCTTATAAACTGCAATTGGCAATAATTTCGATGTCATTGATGACCTGCAACCATTATTTCAATAATTTCATTATATCTATACTTTGACCCTCTTTTTGTCTGTGGCTCAAAAATTTTTGTGTTAGATACGTTAAATTTTTCTTTGGTAAAAAATGGTCATTGAACTTTTTGATGAGTATGTCTAATTTGTCTTTTTCATCAGGCCTAAACGTAAAGGTGTTGAATATTCTAATGCCTTCCTCGTCAATCAAGGTTAATAATTGAGCACAGTGTGTTACCTGTATTTTTTGATGATCTCAGTGGCCTGCAAATAGGTTAGAAAACGCTGCTTCCAGAACGTCCAGTTTTCGGAGACATTTTCGGACATTTTCAACGGGGGTGCGCCTCGCATGGTGCTGTTGTTAAGCGTGCCACTGCCTTGCTATTTCACGAGAAAAAATCAGGAAAAGTAGAACGATGAGCAGGATGATTTTGGATTCTTGAAATTTTATAACTTTTTACCGACCGCGCCATGTTGTGGATCTTGGGTGATGAGGAGAGAGAGAGGAGCAGAAATGATGCTAGCGGTTAAAAGACTGTCGTTCATCTGTCGTTTATTAAGGACCTCTATGTTAAGGACCTACACCGGGCACTTTCCAAAATTCACCGGTTTCTGAACCGGTGCGGTAACGGTTTAATAGTTCACTCACCAAACCATTCCAAAATGTATCAACTTTTTACCAGTTGAACCAGATCATCCGTTCCAAAATTGACCGGAATGATCAGCTGTTTGAGACCGGTGAGGCACCGGATCCACCGGGAATTTTTGTCGGATTTTTCGGTTGGAGATTTTTTGACACTTTTTTTTGACGTACATCAATTGCTTTGAATGGGCACTATCGGCAGTCGTTCGTTAAATTGTCGCAACACAACCGTCATAACCAAACTTTAACCCACCAAAGCGTTCCAAAATGCATCATAAAAATCTTGTAACCGGACTTACACCTAACTTTTACTGGAATTTTTTGATAGCTACCGGTTTATTTAACCGGTCAATTTATCGGTGAAATTTGGAAAGTGCCCACCATTTCCAAATCCAAACGGCAGTAAATGACAAACTGGTCATTTTCATTACTACCTATCAATTGTCCTCCGTGCACGCGCACTGGTCCAGGTAGGGCGTTTCAACCAAAAGGAAGGCTGGTGTTTGTTTACAATTTAGGTAGAACCATAGAGAAATATAATAAACCAAGGTAAGAGTACCTGATTGATAACATGAAAGTTTGTATAGCGCTGACGTCACAGCGACGGTGGCGTCAATAGTGGCAGCCGGAACAAATACTGAAATGGCGGCAATTTTGAAATTTGACTTGAGTTCATTGCACAAAAAACTTACTTATGTTGTTCCACATCTTTGTTTCTCAAATCCGAATGACAAAAATGATGTGGTACTTCATAAAGTTTTGTGCCATTTTTTGATGTAGATTAAAAAAAGAGGCAAAATAAACACTAAATTGTACTAGAAAAAATATATATTATAGCTAGATAGGTCAAATACCTAAAGAGTTTACAAACACAGTTATTACATCCCTTATACATGCTTTAATGTATCTACAAGCTAAGCTGGCCAAGGCCTAACATCTACATTTTATCTCTTCTGACTGAGGTCTCCTAAAACAGTAAAAAAATATGCCGTATATCACAAAACTAACATGTATACTTACTGGTTCAGTTTATCCTAGTTGTACATAATATTATAGGTACGCGATACCGAGTGCCTTAATAAAAATAACAATTTCTTCTTCTTGTTCTTTAGATTTTGTGAGTTCGAGTCTTCTTAGACGACCGCTCAATCGGTTAAAAATGACAAATTTCAACACGGAAATGTCGTTATTTTAAGGTTACTTATTTGTTTTCTCGGTGACAGTTTCTATAGTTATGGATGTTTGATAGGTTTCTACAAAACAGCTAGGAAAGCTCTGTAACTCATACGGTGTCCTTGTCTTGTGAATTGCTATGACAGAGAAAGATGAAACAGAATCGAATGATCGGACTGATCTTTCGTAAGTCTCTAGCTTTCCAAACATTCCGCAATGCGCTATGCGCAACCGGATGCGCAGTAATAGTATAACCTATTTCGGCTATACTTTTGAAGGTCTTTTTATTTTTTATTGTCTATGGGTAGAACCAATGAACTATAACCAAAAACTGGAATGCTAACACATAAGGACGAACTTGAAGGCTAGTGCGGCTGCTGCGGAGGGGATACCTGTTTTTGTCGCACTCATTATGTTAAATGGCGAAAATTGCTTCCAACACGTATTCCAATTGATGAAACCTGTGAAGGGAAATATGACAAAACTTTCGAAAACGTCATATGTCAGCGAGCAACAGAAAAAAACAACATTCCCCCTTGTGGCATCTGTCTTTCATGGCTTCATTTTTTTGGCAGATATGGCAATGTGTGCGCATTCCAGTTTTTAGCTATAGTTAGGCAATCTCAATCACGTGATTTTTTAATGGCCGTTCAGGTCAAATATTGCGGTGACAAGCCGGTGACGTTCATAAGGAGAGCATTTGAGTTCTGGCCCTTGTTGCTTTCGAAGTGAATTTTATGTGTTTCTACGTATTTTTCATTGGTTTTGGTCATATTGTTGTTTTCATAGTGAATTTTATAGTTTTCACTATTTCTACGTATTTTTTAATGTTCTGGCTTTTGCTTTCAAAGTGAATTTTATAGTGTTTTTCTACTGACGTTTCATAATAGCAACTTTTCGATTGTCATTTCAGTTTTGAAACGACATTCTTTTAGGCACTGAGTGCGTGAAAGTTACTTTTAGGCACTCAGTGCGTAAAAGTGACTTTTGAATGCGTAAAAGTGACTTATGAGTGCGTAAAAGTAATTTTTAAGCACTAGTGCCTAAAAGTGTCATTCATTATTCAGAAATAAAAACACACTAAACACATATTTGAATTTTGTTTTGTATTTATTATGAATATTGAAAATGGAATTACTGAATTGAACGTTTGGGTTACTCAAAACAGAAGTTTGTGTTATTACCTACTTTCTAGGATTTTAATTATTGATGTCGAATTTTGAAAAGAAAATCGCATGAAAAGTGTCAGGTGTCAAGTAAAAGCAGGTAACAAAGATTTTGGGTGTAATCGACTTATTCACATGAAATAAAATTGTGTTTTTTTATTATAAAATGCCAGTAGAAAAAATCTTGTATACAATACGTTACGAAACGATGTCTTTTAGTCACTCGACGTGTTGTCCAACTCGGCTTTGCCTCGTTGGACAATTTTCACGTCGCGTGCCTAAAAGACGCTCATTTCGTAACTTATTGTATAAATAGCTATTATAGTGTTTCTACGTATTTTTTAATTTAATAATAAATTCTGAGATGGAGAGTGAATAACTTAAGGTATTATTATTAAGGGAAAATCGAGCCTCTGTTAGATCTTTTCCTTTAATTGCAGCAATCCATAAAGCCCTGCGTTGTTTTGATAATTCATTTTTCTAGATCAAAAGCCGATGATTTAAAATAGCAGGAACTGAATAAAATTTCACATTATCCCTGTTACCTCGACTTCCACACCCCAATTACGATGCAAATTGCTGGCATTTCAATTAACACAATACCTAAACACACAAAAAAACACAAAATCCGATAATTCAAATCTTGACGTTTGTCCAGAATGTGATAAAATCAATGACATACAGAATAAACAACACAGTGCTTGACCCAATGCTTGACCCGAACTTCCATATTGAATTTCGTTTTTGACAGGTCAGTAGATTGCCTAGTTCATTGGGTAGAACTAGGCGTTATAATGACGTGCGTCATGGGGAGGTGCGTTCACAATTGCGCACCTTGACAGCAATGCCAGCAGTTCCGCCAGGTAATGCTCCAAGAGCGCTGAGTCCAGCAAACAGAGCTATGAGTGGAATAATCCCACCCGAATAACACGAGGAACTTTAATTTTCTTTCGGCTACTAACTTGCCTTATCGTATTGCGAGCTGCTTTTATATAATTGCTCATTCCACAATGGTGCTTCTTCAACTGCTTTCACTTATTATTATCCATTCGCTTCAAATAACTACAAAACTATAGTGTATTTATTAACGTGGCTGTTTAGTTATTCTCTAAATTCACTGCTGCATTATTATTTCTGATCTCATTGTGATGCAACTAGTGGAATGTAAAAAAAAATTCCGCGAACAATGAAAATTATCTGCTGGTTGTGGGGTTCGATTACACGATTACGGCCCTGACCTATTCCTATACTAGCATTGTAAAAGGTATTTCGTATTTCAACCATCTAATGAAGAGTTCGTTTGAAATTAAGATGAGAATGTGTTAACTACAAGGAAAAGCATATAGGCATTTAATTTGTGGTTTCACTATTATTAATTATTTTCTCAAAGGAACTTCCAAATACAATTCAAGAAATAATTAGGTATTCATCAAGCCATTCTTTCGAATGTACCTTCTTGGATTAAAAATATATTATTTTGGATACAACTGTTTCTAATATCAAAATGACATCCATAATGCTCTAGTGCGGTAATGCGGCTTAATAAATAAACAATCTTATCTGGAAATTCATTTATCATAGCTTGACAATGAAATTTAATTACAATTCGATAACTAATTATTAATGTCAGATGCAAACGTGCCTATCGTGCCTTAAAAAAGGTGAAAATATTCTGAGGACGTTGTTGAAATATCTCCTAATCTAGATAACATGTTATATGCAATTACCGCACTTAACAATTTTTAATAAAACGTGTGATGATTTTCAAAATTCGATATTTTTCCAACTCAAAAAAGGCCAGCCGTTATTGTTGATAGACTATTATTGATTTCAATTATAAGTTTCTCATAAAAAAATCTAGATGTCAATTATTATTATCCGAATAATTATTCTATCATTATTAATTATTATTATATTTTTTGCAGGTCGTACCAGCGGTACCACAACCTGAAATACCAGAACAATCAGTCTGAAAAAACTGTGTTATGAAGAATCGGGCAATTAAGTCAAAAACTGTGCCATAGTTGTTAAATTTCATATCTAGTCCAAACCAAGATTGAACGCTGTTAAATTAAATTTTTGAAAACCATGTGATAGCTATTAAAAATGGCACTAAAACTAAGAAAAGACATTAAAAAATCGTCCTACTATGTATGGTTTTTGGGGGCGAAAGAATCCAAAGGCTTACGCGGAGCAGAGTATATCGTACCAGTTATAAGGCACTTGGAAGAAAGAGAAAAAGATGTGGAGCCTTTCAAAGTTACTTTGCAGGTAAGAATTAAGCAACTTTGCTAAACAATATATATTTTTAATTATTTTTTTAAGGTGTCCCACAAAGGGCTCAAAATCATCCAAAACGTTGTGTCTCAAGGAAAAAATTCCAAACCGAAAAATGAAACTATCAAGCATTTTATTCCTCATAATACGATAACTTATGTTTATCAGCACGAGGATATTATTTCTTGTATATTGTTATTGTTCAATCCAGTTACGAAGTGTCCATTGCATGTGCATGCTTATAGGTAAGTCAAATATTGTTTTTACACATGGCAAGACATATACAAGTATATCTAAATGTAATTTAATTCCAGAAACAAAGCAAATATCTCAAAATGTTATCGTATTTCAAATTACTAGCAATTAATTAAATCACATTGAATTCCAACAAAAACTATTCAGAATTAATTTTAAAACGTAGGTAATTGAATATTTTATTGTTGAGCAATTATTGTGTTTATTGGGATTTTGAGTAGTTTATACATCAAGATTAACAAACGCTCAGTTGATTCTAGCCAAATTAGTTGGCTGCATATTTTATTTTAATTCGCACAACTGTATTTGTTTTAGCATTAAGTGTAACAGCGTAAATCCATAAAATACGTCAAATACACTGTTATTTCTTAAATAACAGTTAAAGTCGAAACAATAAAAATCGCTTATTTTAGAATCCTGGTTATCTAATTTCACGGTTGAGGTGCAGAAGTAGTCGGATTAGAAAAAAATATATAGGTACCTACAAAATAAAATGTTGACTTGGAAAATGGTTTTTCTAATATTTAAGATACAGGTAGAGATATGATTATTCATTATTTTTAGAAACTCATTTTCAAAGGTTAAAAATGTAAAAAAATAAAATTTTCCATGTTGAGATTTTGACTTCAAAAGATTATTCAGGACCTTTCCGGTTTTGTAGTTTTTCACTAAACTAACATTCTCAAAAAATTTCAGAATTATATCTACGAGTATATCTATGATACAGTTTGAGATATGATTTTTCATTCTAATTAGAAATTTATCTTAAACTTCCTAAAATTTTTCCATGTTGAGATTTTGTTTGTTTGGGACTGCCCACGTAATTTCAAAAAATGCAAGATTTTAAAACAAAATGCTTGAAAATAGTTCGGTTGAAAACTGATAAAATTCCATTCTCTCGCTCCAAAAGAATGTTGATCTCTGAAGCTCTAATTTCAGATTTGGATTTTTCAAATTCAACAACCCATCAATTACTTAATATTTTGACTGTTTTTACTTGGTTGGAAAATTCACGGTCATTATGAAATGTTGATAGTTCAAATAAATGGAAATTAGAAACTTCGTTAATTGATTTTTGTTATTGTTACTTCAATATGAATTTATAATCTTCGTCGGGTTTACTCTACATATGAGTAAGATATAGTGATCACAGAATCCATATACTTTGAAATCAATCGCGAACTGTCTAAAGCTAAACCATTCAGAAAAACTCAGAAGACAGAATGGAAAAAATTCTCGCTTCTCATGGAAGAGGAAAAGAATCTGGCAATTCCAACCAAAGAGTCAAATCCTCCAACAATAAGGAACAAAGAGGAAAAACTACGAAAAGCTTTCCATAAGTCTTGTCCCTTAAGCCACAAAAGCACCATACTCCAGGCAAAATAGGTTTCGATCTCGCATTAAATGATGGGGTTCCAGTTTTTTCAAGAATGTGTAGGGGATGACGTCCTAAACAACGTCTCATAAAGTCCCGTCGATTTCATGCGCCGCGGGTTGGAGGGAGGCGACCCAAAGGTCACTTTTTCCAGTTTTTGGCTTTTATCTCGATAATGGTACGTCCCACAGAAAATTTTATAATTTGTAAAATTGAAGCTTATGAAATTTACTTCCGAATGATGTATTTGTGTTTATAGCCAAGTATTACCGTTTTCCAGATATGAGTCGCTGAATATGAAAATTTGCCAAAAAAAATGGTAGCGGTTAAGGTATCTCGTGAATATTCCTTTTTTAATTTTTTTTTCTTGATATCACAGTAAGATAAAAGTTGTAGACCAAAAAAAAAATTTCAAAAGCGTGTAGATATAATAGGTACTTTGCCAGGCCCAGTGAGTGGTTAGAGTGTAGTGTTTGGAAGTTTAGGGATACGTTTTAACAGTTCGCTAGTAAAATGCTCGTTAAACAAGTTTCGTTTTGAAGCTCTATCGCTCTTTTAGTTACTTCGTATACTGTTTAGTTAAATACGTATAGTACAGCTAGTATACCCTGTATAAATTAGCTATTTATGCAACAAGTTCCAAAGGGAGCGTGTTTTTTGCACTAAATGTAATTGAACCACAAGCGCAGCGTGCACGAATCAAAGGAGACGTGCGCTCGTCTTGGTGCTATTCGTGGAGTCATCCATACATTCGGCATAAGTAATTGCATTTTATTAAAATTCTGCGGTGGTAAGTGGGCCTCCAACTTCAAATAAGTGGAACAAGTTTACAGTTTATCAATAAAACATGTGCAACTTAATTGAATTGAGAAGTGAAAAGGGTTTAGAATTACTTCAAATTGATTAATAAAAGCGTGAAATCCATCCATTTTCAATTTGCAACTGGAGCTGCTCTTTATAGTGGGTTACTGGAAAGCACCTCAAGTGGGAGGAGAGGAACCTTTCTTCGAAGCGCGCCATTTCAAGCATTTGCGGGAAATTATCATTTAACAATATTTATATAATAGTAGAAATGAGTGAAAAGTGTATCATATGTGATGAAACAGTTGCAAGTAATGCAAGTAGTCAGTAAGTGATAAGGGAATAAAATCGTGGATAAGTGTTAGTCTTACTCGAAGAGATGAAAAACATCATTTGTTTGAAAAAATTAAAAGTGGTGTTGTTGATATTGGGTGCAGGAAAAGGTTCACAAGACCTAGTGATCTGAAAAAAAGAAGCAAAATCTTGGAATCTTTTTACTTTAGGTAAACTTCTTTCAATAATATTTATTTGGAGGATTCAAAATAGCAGATGTTGGGTTTGCTAGTGAATTTCAATTGACTTCTACCTATCCGATCGACTGTAAATCTAGCATGCGTTTATAGAGGACAATAGATGTGGCTTAATCTCCTGCCAGAATATTGAACCTGTCAAACAGTCAAAAATATTATTCCACATAGGTAGGCTACCAGTATGGTAGTCAAAAAACTATATGCTGCCCAGACAAATAGGCAGACGTTTTTTCTCTGTTTTAAGTGCTTCTACGTCCTTAAGAAGTTCTTCAAAACCAGGATTCGAATTTAGGACTAAATGTTTGTTATGCACTGAGAACATAAATAAAGCCTTCTACCAAAAACAAAAAATTGACAAACTCTGTAAAGTTTCCAATGTTCGAGAACTTGGTTTGGACGAAAACATTAGAAGACGCGCAACTGCTCGAAATGATGATTGGGGGGGGGGGCAAGGCAATTTTGACGCGCATTAGTAATGTGGGCGAATTACATGCGGCTGATGCTAAATATCATGAAGACTGCTACATGAATTTGTTTTTGTTGAAACCGACTGGACAAAAGCAGACCGCTCGAAAAATTTGTTTCATAAGCCATGGATAATATTTACCAATATTTGGATAATGAAGATAAAATTCAGAAAACTTAGCCAAAAAGTAACTGTTGCCTGTTTTCGAGATGTTGGTGATGCGTGGCCAAGAGTGATAGTGACATCGATGAGAATATCAGAATCGTTAAAACAGCTGCTGCAATAGTAAGAAGAGATATCCAGTCCAAAGCCTATGATTTGGCAAGCTACCTTCCAAGTGATGAGTTTTTGATGCCACAGATATGGTATCTGACACCCTCGCTGCTTTTATGGAAGCTCTCATCCCTTAGAAAAAAAGTGGTGGAAAAGAAGATCAGAAAAGAGTTAGCATTAGCTACGCTATAATCTCCGCCATTCGTCCACGCTCATTCATTTCCTCGATCCTTATAGGATTGCTTATCACATACACTGTCAGTTTGGATCTCGGAGCTTAATAAATTTAATGTCTGCCTTCGGGTTTAGTGATTCATATTTTCATGTCCAGCAACTAGAACTCTCGTCCCTCTTCCATACCCCGAAACCCACACCTGAGAGAACATTTCGGTAATATGTTTTTGATAACGCCGACTTCAATGTTGTTTAGGATGTATTAAATACATGAGACCTGCTCAAGCTCTTCCAAAATCCGATGATTTCGAACGGCTCACAACACAATAGCTCCTACTGTGCTTGAAGTGGGAAAGCTGGGTGTTTTGTAGCTGCTTATCTATGACAATGTACGAAGAAAGGGACTGGGAAGTGTTGTGATCCAGGATTTGAACATTTTAGTGCCACTCCATGGAGATGAACTTATTCCAAACCTCCAAGACACTCTGTGGATGACGGGAAAATAGCTCTCTCTTCTGAACACCCAAGCCATACCAAAAATCCCAGAGTGGAAGGGCTTCTTGCATGTGGCTTTTGATGCAATCAATGCTGGGCAAAGTGCAATCATACCGTTAGCATTCATTAATTCACCACCGAGTGATCTTGACACTTTGTATACAGCCCTAAAATATGCAGCAGAAGACGCACATCGGCAAGGGTTTCCAACTTGTTTGGTATTAATGGATCAGCCACTATATCTTAAAGCTAGAGAAATCGTAGCATCTTGCTGTGATGACCCGATACTGAGCAAAGTAGAAATGATTCTTGGTGGGTTTCATATGCTTATGTCTTATTTGGGATGTATTGGACAAACTATGACTGGGAGTGGACTGAAAGAACTTTTGACCTGTGCTTTCGCTTTAAATTCAGTACACAAAATGTTAATCGAAAAATCCTATAGCAGAGCAGTGCTCAAGCCACTTTAGCTCAGATTATTTTGGAAAATAAAGATATCACACCAGATGAAAAAGAAGAAGTAGTTCAGCTACTCTCCACAACATATAGCCACAAATGCCTCTCTTGCCAGCATTTGGCCAAAAATTGAGCAGCGAATTATCACGTCTCGAAAGTAATGGGCCAACAGCAGCTTTGTGGGTTCAGTACTTTGAATTGGTGGTGTTAATAAAAAAAATTAATTGCAGCACAACGCACTGGTAACTGGGAAGATAATATTGCGGTGACAGTTCATTTGTGGTTTTTAATGGTTATGAAGACACAAACTCTACGAAAAGAGCAGAACAACATCGGAGAGCATCCAGTAAAACATCTCTGGATATTGACTTCAATAAGAACATGGTGGCTACTGTTCGTCAGTGTCCTTATTCTTGAAAC